AATTGATCTGCTCTTGTGCCAATTATATTTGTCAACCTAGGAATGAGTGATCCATAAATAGCTGTTCTAAGATGTATAATCTGACAATTTGATTGTATATTATTTCAACTCAAGGTTTAAAATTGCGTATTCGGGTATTGAGGCGTTTTTCGTTCGTGAGGCGAGGCGTAAGCCTCAAGGCGATTTGAGGCGTAAGCCTCAAAATCAAAAAATTGCGTAAACATAAAATAATAAATTTTGTATATACTAATGAGTAAATAATATATAAAACATAAAAATGCACAAGATAAATAGCAATGACATTAACATATCACATAAGAAGTTAGGAACTCACTAGTCATTAGCATTATCATCACTCATCAGTCATCACTAAGGGGGTCTTCATTTGAATCATCATTATGATGAGCTGCTCTCTCATCTTCCCCCTCTCCTATAGAGTCCAATATCTCCCAATCAGCTTCTTCTTCCTCATTATTAGTTATCTTCCTCTTCCCTAAATAGTAGAAATTTTTGAACAATATCATAATGAATAATAGTGTAATACATTAATAAAAGTTTAAGAAAAGAAAACTATATTATTTATATACCTTTTTTGATTTGTTCTTGAGTTGTGGTGGATGTGGATGCTTTAAGACCATCAAAGAAATCAACATTTAAATCTTCATCTTGTAATTCAGACGGCATCACTTCAACTTCATCATCTACAAACCACTCATCATCAGATGCCACATCATCGCAAAGCAAAGGATCTTCATCATCCATTAATCCTTTTTTCTTCAAATTTCTATCTCTGAGTCTCCTATTATACATAATGTACACCAGTGAGTTCATCCTCAATGTCGACAAGCGATTTCTCCTCTTTGTATGCACTTGGTTGTAGGTACTCCAATTCCTTTCACAGCCAGATGAAGAGCATGTCAAGCCCAAAACTTTCACAGCAAAACGTTGTAATTCTGGAGTCCCATCACCAAATTGAATCCACCACTCAACTGGAGATCGTTTGGCAATTGTATCTTTTGCTTGTTGTAATCCAAAAAAACCTTCTTTGTTCCTAAAAGGTACCAATTGCAAGTCAGCATTTGATCTTTCAGTTGCATCACTTATTAGACGATCCATGCAATGATATAATCCCAACTTTATTTCAGGGTTTGTAGACTTGTTCTCTGCATATTGATACTGAGGGTTTAGGTAGTAGCCAGCGGCATGCAAGTGTCGGTGAAGCTGTAGTTCCCACCTATCATCAATAATATTCCAAATTTTCCTAAAGCTTCCCTCACTGCCTCCTAAGTTGGAGGCAATCATCTCTTTGGCTTCATCCATAGCATTGTAGATGAAACCCATTGCAGGCTTCTTCTCAGCATCCACCATCCTTAAAACATGAACTAAAGGTCTAGTGGTTGTAATGTCATATAAGACACTTTGCCAAAATCTGTCATTTAAAACAATCTTTCTAATCTCTTTTCCCTCAGCCTTCTTCGCCCAAGCACAACTCAACCACTGTGTAGATGTGAACATAGCCTCTAAAGGTTGTCTGGCATCCAGCATGCTCTCTAAGGTCAAGTATGCGGTGGCAAATCTTGTTGCGGCTGGCCTTAGAATTTCTTTCTTCGAAAACTTTCTCATAAGAGCTAGAATCCAAGAGTGGTTGTAAATAAACTTGGTTATTTTTTTGGCTTTAGTGAGTGTATTTTTATGTTGAGGTAGATCCCCAAGCTTCTCAAGAATCAGATCTATGCAATGTGCAGCACATGGAGTCCAATACAAATGTTTCCTCTTCTCCATAAGTTTATTACCTGCAGCCTTATAAGAACTTGCATTATCTGTCACAATTTGTACAACCAAATGTTCTCCAATCTCTTCAACAATGCTATCTAATAATCTAAATATGAACTCAGCATCTTTGACCTGGTCAGATGCTTCAATTGACCTTAAAAACACAGTACCATAAGGATTATTAATGAGGATGTTGATCAGACTTCTATGTTTGATATCAGACCACCCATCTGACATAATTGTTACTCCTGTTTGGACTCAAGTCTTCTTAATTTCTTCAATGCTTTTATCAGTGCTTTCTAACTCCTTCAAAATTCATATTCTTAAATTATACATGGTTGGAGGTTTGAACCCTCTCCCAAATGCTCCAACTGAACGAATCATGTTGTAATAAGCAGGTGATGTTGCAACATTAAATGGAATTGCATTTTCGTAGAAGAATCTGCCTATATCCTTACACACTCTTCTCCGCGCCTCTCTTGCATTTTCTGGTGCTATCTTCTGTGTAGTAGAAGGCCTATCCTCTGATGTGTCAACCATATAATGATCCATAGGCCCTCTAGCACCCCTAGATGAAATGGGCTTCATAGAAGAAAATAAATCCCTAACGCTACGCTCACTCCCTTAGTAAGATCCAACATCAACTCTATCCTCAAATTGCTTCTGTGCAAGATGTTTTGATATGGTAGACTTATTCATGTATGATTTTATATCATCCCTTACAGTATCAGGAACTTTGGAGCATGGAGTAACATTCTTGTGAGAGCCTGAATAGTGTTCCTTCATCCTAGTCACACCACCTTTCACAATTTTATCACAGTAATTGCATTTCAGATAGACATATGTTTTATCACTGCCTCCTACATCCACCTGAGTGCTATGTTTCCATATTTGATCTTTTCTATGACCTGATGCAGCTTTATCCTTATTTCTGATCATTCTGATTGAACAAAAATAGGAAATGAACGAGTTCTTACTAATCTTTTCTATGAACTGATGCAGGTCATACGAGACAGCAGCCTCAGACAGAAGCGGCCGCCGGTCGGACAGAGAAAACAGCAACCCAACTCGCAGTAAAAGAAACCTCCAAGCAAAAGGCGAAGAGAGCAGCTCTTGTTTAGGGTTTAGTATGAGTACTAGATGTGTTCAGTATTATATAATGTCGAGCCGTCGATAAATTTTCTGGATGTGTTCAATTTTATATTGTGTGTATTTTATGCGTATATACTGCGTATGTAATGCTTATTTAAGCGTATATACTGCGTATGTGAGACGTAATCTATGCGAATTTTATACATATTTTGTAAAACTTCTTCTAAAGTATTTGTAAATTAGCAGTTGGAGGAGTTGTAACTTAATGTATGATTTTGTATTAATATTTAATAAAACATATGATTTTTTGTTATAATATGAGTGCTAGATGTGTTCAATATTATATTGTGCGTAATCTATGCGTACGTTGTGCGTAATATATGGGTATACAATGCGCATACCATGCGTATTTTGTGCGTACTCTCTGCGTGAACATTGTGTATTTAGAAAAATAAAAAATAATTAAAAGAACATTTAATAGAATTTGATAAATATAATTTTAATGACTATATACAGTATAAAAAACACAAGAACAAATTAAAAGAACATTTATAACAAATACAATTTTACAAGAGAATCTATGTACATTCTATTAAAAATATTAAACCAAAATAATTACAAGAGAAACTTGCTTTGATGTTTAGACATGATTGTCAATCAGAAGTAATACAGGCTTAATATAAGGTAAGATTTTTTACTTAAGAGTTAAGAGCGAAGTCTAAAGCTATTGGTAGATTGTGATTCATTTGAGGCTAAGTATTACCTAATTTTGAAATGTACTTATTTATCCTCATCCTCAAAAGAATCACAATCTAACAGCAACTTTAGATTAAACTCTGAAGTAAAAAATCAAACCTTCTGTCAACCCTGCATTACTTCTGTTTAAAAAAATCAGGCGTTACCATAAGGCAAGCGTTCCTGCTTTATATAATGAAAATTTTAATGTTGAACAATAGTAAGCAATAAATTGTAAATAATAGCTCATAAAAATTCAACCAACCCTCCCAACCATATCTGTCACCCGTCATTTCACAACTAACGAAAATTATTATTCATGTTACGGCCCCTTAGTCCATACAAAATGTAAGTAACCTAAAACATTTAATATAATGTGTGCGTGTATTATGCGTACTCTATGCGTCTTATATGAGTAATTTGTGCGTGTATTATGCGTACTCTATGCGTCTTTTGTGCGTTCTTTATGCCTATTATTTAAAAACATTTAAAAAATATTTTTAAAATAATTTTTTTATTTAAAACAAATAAGAAATTCAAACACTAATATTTAAACGCAAATGTCAAACACAAAATCTTTCAAACATCATATTCCTTATTTTTCTTCTTTAAATACAATCCACAAAGAGCCATAAACCCTTTGTACTTGTTTAAATATTATATTCAAGACTAGAAAATGAAATCATAATAATCACATTGCGTTTAATTTGTAATAACAAGTTTAAATTCAACGTGTTAAACATATTCCTCATCATTTTAATGTAACTTTAAAACAAAGATAAATATTAATTAAAATATTTAATAAAATTTGATAAATAAAATTTACTACGTAATTTGTGCGTGTATTATGCGTACAAGCGTTTTTTGTGCGTAATATATTCGTGTATACTGCGTACGATATGCATGTTGTGTGCGTGCGTAATGCGTTTCCTTTAAAAACATTTAATAGAATTTGATAAATAAAATTTACTGTGTAATGTGTGCGTATATGATGGTACTATATGCGTCTTTTGTGCGTGCGTTATGAGTATTATTTAAAAACGTTTAAAAATCATTTATAAAATTATTTTTTTGTTAAAACAAATAAAAAATTCAAACACTAATCTTTAAACGCAAATGTCAATCACAAAATATTTTAAACATCATATTATGCCTATTATCTACTTACGATATGCGTAATATATGCGTACAATATGCCTACACAATACCGTACGATATGCGTAATTTATACGTATTATCATTTAATAAGTTATTTTTTAATCAAATCAATGTAAATAACATTTATACACAGAATTGAAAAATATATTCTTCAGAAATAAACATTTATACACATAATGATAAATATTTATACAAAGAAACTGTTTAAACATTTATACACAGAAATATTTATACACAGAATGATAAATATTTTACATAATGAAAAACTGTTATTTTTCCAACGTTTTACAAAATATTTCATATGCAAATTCTGCCCTATACTTTGTCATATGTTCTTGTCAATTTGTACTATCAGTCCAATCAGTGTTGCCTTCAAGACTTATTCTTTCCATATATTTACAGACATACATTCCGCAATCTACAGAATTCTCCTGTTTTGGTGCACCTTTAATAGTAGAAAGCTTCCCTTTTCTGATATCACTATTAAAAGATCATTTTGTGTCAGAATATAGGGCTTTAAGCTAAAAAATACGTAGAGCAAAGATTAGTTCTGTAAATTTTTTAAAAATTGAAGAGTTCATGTTCATCTAACACTTACGATTTTTGAAACAACAAGAATATGCTCTTTGACGCGGTGGAGCAATGAGTCATAAAATTTTCACTTTTGTTCTTTCAGTAAACCAACCAAAAGGATAATGTGCGAGGATTCAATGATTAGCTGTAATAAAATGTTGTTTGAAGAAACAAAAAGTTCGATTATATGGTCGATTTGCAATTTGGACAATTTATCCCTTTGTTATTCTGCAAGTGCAAGTAGTAAATGTAACTATATAAGAACTAAGAAATGAATACTAAGTTACTAAAAAATTAAACTGATTAATTAAATACTAAGTTACTAACCCAATAGACTTGAGAGATGTATAGAAATTTATGGTACTTGCCAGGCATAAGATTACACTTCTCATCTAACAAAAAGGCAAAAAGATCTACCTGTTCATTGCCTAAATAATTGTCGCTTAATAGCTCGTCAATTTCAGCTCTGGAAATAAGAATGTTACTAACAAACAAGATACTATCGTCCCTGCAAAAAAGAAAACATTAAATACGCATTTAAAAAGGTCAAAGATTGCATGATCCTAAATTGGTTTAGTTGAACTAATATAGCCTAGACTTTAAACAATCTCTAGATCCTTTATGATTAACCTAATTCAAATTGGACTTATGATCAATGAGATCTAATAGCCATGGACTTAGTCAAACCAATCCATCATTAACTTAACCCAACCTTAGTGAAACACAAGCAAATTGGTTTAAGTTTTGACCAATTAAATTCACCCTTGAATTAGACATTTATTAACCAAGCCTACTTCAGGCCCCCTTGACTAACTAGACCCAAATAAAGCCTACCAACGCTAATTTGAAACATCCTTAGCTTATATTGCATGAATAATTATCAAGTTGGTCAACTTAATCCTAATGTTATAATGTCCCAATCCAACAAGCTAATCAAAACCTCTTAAGCTAATGAAAAATGTAGATACTTTCAATAAGTCAATGCCATAACTCTTTTAGCTTTATTTTCTATAGAAGTTCCAATTATTTATTATTAACTTAGATTCAAATTATGTTGAGTAACTTAATCGTAAGAAGAACATCTAACAAAACTGACATTAATTCCTATAAGCACAATATACAGTTCAAGACGTGCTAAAATAATTCTAGATTATTTCTAAAATCTTTCAGTATTTTGCCTTATTTTGGATTTCATTTTAATCCTATTGCATTTCATTGTTAGGATAATCATTATTTCAAATTAGAATAGGATTTTTACAAGTTATCTAAATTTAAAATCAAATTTGTTTGATTTATCTTGTAACCAATGTTATTTATAGTATTGAATTATGAAAGACATTTCAAACACTTCTTCCCTTTATGGGCTCACGAGCTGAGCTTATCGAGCTCGAGCTCAAACTCAAGCTCTTATAGTAAGCGAGCTTGAGTTCAAGCTCGATGAGGCTCGGCTCATGAGCTCGCGAGCCGACTAGAATTAATGTTTGAATTTTTGTATTATAATTAAAATTTTTATTGCATTTAAATTTTTTTTAAAAAAACTTTGTTCTAATCTTCAATAATATTAGTACAGCAGCTTTGTAATTAACTAAGACAGTTCATATTCTATCATATCTGTGATTTACATGTGTACATGCCTTTACTTTATCTATCTATATATACTCACCTATGTACCTACTGAAGATTTGAATAATACAATATTATTTCCTTTAACCTTTGTCTTCTTCCCTGTCTCTCATCTTACTCTTCTTGGCCTTGTGTTTCTACATGGTATCAGGCCTCTCTTTCCTACCTCTACTCTAAAAGATGGCGGCATCCCACTCCGCTTCTTCCACCATCGAGCAACAATCAAGCACTCCGATGGAAATCTCTCCCATCTCCCATTCTCTCAAGTTTGTGGTTTCAAATCTCAAAACCCTCATCCCAAATCAACTTTCATCGGATAACTATCCGATTTGGCACCATCAGATCCTCAAGCTTCTTCGGCCAAGTCATTC